GAGATGGAATGGGGGTGAGGATGGAGGTGGAGAAGGAGATAGAGAAGAGATAGGATGGAGGTGAGGATGGAGGTGGAGAAGGAGATAGAGAGGAGATGGGATGGAGGTGAGGAAGAAGGTGGAAAAGAAAATAGAGAGGAGATGGAGGTGAGGATGTCAGTGAGGATGGAGGTGGAAAGGAAATAGAGAGGAGATTGGATGCAGGTGAGGATGGAGGTGGAGAAGGAAATAGAGAGGAGATTGGATGCAGGTGAGGATGGAGGTGGAGAAGGAAATAGAGAGGAGATGAGATGGAGGTGAGGATGGAGATGAGGATGAAGTTGGGGATGGGATATAGCTGGGAAGACTAAGAGTGAAGGAAGGCTGCAGACGACAATCCTACAAAGCAGAGGGTTGAGGGGGAAAGAATGCTGTTCGTAATCAAAGGGGAAGACAGGAGGGAGGGGAGAGGCTGATAGTGACGTGGGGGAGCACCCACAAGCAGTCGGGGTCCCCAGGTGTCAGCAGCCCCCTGACTGCCGACCCTCAGAGCCCTGCCCGGCGAGATGCAGAGCGACATGTTTCAGGCCACAAGGCCTGAGGAAGGCGTTGCTGGGAGCAGTGTGGGGAGCCCGGGCTGTCCGTGCTGATATTCGCAGCTCTGCTGTGTCATCGTCCATACAACTGAAATCTGTTATTGTCTTATGAGCTTGATTAACTGTACATATTGCTAACACCTGCTCAGAAATATAACGAGGGATGGGAACATGGCTCCCAATCAGGTTCTGTGTGGGTGGTGTGTGTGACTAGGGTGCAGATCTCCAGAATGGGGATGTGTGTGCACACAGATGTGTGTGTGTGTGTGTGTGTGTGTGTGTGTGTGTGTGTTGGGGGAGGGGGCACACCAGTGCTGTGCAAAAAACCCTGGCCTGCATTTGTAATACCAGAGGCCAGTCCAGGCTTTGCCATGGGCTTACACTGTGACCAGGCAGATGGCCCCTCTCTCTGACCTCAGTTTGCTGACCTGTAAATGGGAGGTCTGACCTAGGGCTACACAATAGAAGTATACACCGAGTGGCCAGATTATCATGATTTCTGAAGGCATAATAATCTGTCCACTCAATATATATATATATATATATATATATATATATATATATATATATGAGGCCCAGTGCATGAATTATGCATGAGTGGGGTCCAACCAGCCTGGCTAGGGGGCAGGGACATGGGAAGTTGGCCAGTCTGCCTTCTAGTCTAACTCTTGATTGAGGGGACAATTTGCATATTAGCCTTTTATTATATAGGATATACACTGAGTGTCCAGATTATTATGCATTCAGAGATCATCATAATCTGGCCACTCAGTGTAGTGCCAGCCACATATGTGATTGTACGTTTTCCAATAACCACGCTGAGAAAACCTGTGAAAGTGAAATTATTTTTAGTAATATATTTACTAAGTTCAACATAGCCCAGGTGTCATTTCAACAGGTACCCAGTATAAAATATTCATAATGTATTTAACATTCTTTTAAGACCATCTTCAAAATTCCATGCGTGTTTTACCCCTACAGCCCGAATGAACTTGAAAAGGTCACAGATGCATGCTCAGAGCCACACGGGGTTGGTGGTGACCATATGGGACGGGACCAGGCCAGGGCATTCTCTGATCTCCTCATCGAACTGTGGGTGCCCCAAAGCGGGGGATCAGGTTTGTTCTCCCAGCGGTAGCAAGGAGCCCCTGAGAAAGAATGTCCGTAAATAATATTGCTAATAAACGCAGCTGGCATGGATCCGGTGCACAGTGAAAACACTCTCAGGCCCTCCTTCATTGAATCCTCGCAGGTGCCCTATAATTGCCTTCTGTATGTAAGGAAATCAAGGTTCAGAGAGGTTAGGTAACATGCCAGGGTCATGGAGCCGGGGAGTGGTCCCCTGGTCTTTGAACTCTGGGTGGTGGGGTTTAGAGCCCACACTCTTAACCATCACCCCAGACTACCTCCCTGCATTACAACTAACATGCATTAACATTGCTGACCTGCCTGCCAGGCTTCCTGTGTGCCAGACAGGCTTCCTGTGTCAGCATCATCTCAGGTACTCCTCAAGCCATCCCATGAGGAAGGTTCTAGGTGCCTGATTCCCGTTTGCTCAATGAAAGCGAGGGAGAACGAATGAGTGATTTTGAAGGTGCCCGCTGCCTAGCTCTGAGCCTCTAAGAATCCTGGGGGATGTACTTACGCCTCACATACGCCAGCAGGAGCATGCCAGAGCTCTGTGCCAGACTCTACTTGGCATGGTCCCTTAATCTTTGGGGCAAACGAGGTAAGCAGAGCCACCCTCAGGAGCAGTTCTCAAGAGATCCAGCTTTCAGGCATCCCTGGCAGTGGAGAGGTGCCAGGTGGATGTGTGTTCCCGGCGGCTCGCATGCGTACTTGGGGCTCGGGTGCCCGTGGGTCTGCGCTCCTTCCTTCTTTCCGAAGGCCTGGTGGCACAGCTTCACATCCGCATTCAGGCCCTGGAGCGGGGGCCCGTGGGTTCAAATCCTGAGACCGTGAACCCAGGCAAGTTGCTGCACCACTCACATTTTCTCATCTGAAAATGGGAATACATACCCTCACCTCCTAGACCCCTGGTCGGCAAACTGCGGCTCGAGAGCCACATGCGGCTCTTTGGCCCCTTGAGTGTGGCTCTTCCACAAAAGACCACGGCCTGGACGAGTCTATGTTGAAGAAGTTTAAATTTTAAAAATTTGGCTCTCACAAGAAATTCCAATCGTTGTACTGTTGATATTTGGCTCTGTTGACGAATGAGTTTGCTGACCGCTGGCCCAGACTAATGGTGAGGATTAAGTGAATGAATGCGGGCAAGGGCTTGGAAGGGCTTCTGGCTCATCAGCGTGAGCCGCCGCTGGCGCTTGCTGCGGGATCCAGGTTTGCTGGGTAGTTTTGGAAACATTAGATTGCGGAATCTGCTACTTCTGGGTAATTGAAGTGTTCGGATGCGTTCTTCCCCCTCGGAGTTTCCTACCCACTTACCATCTGCTTCCTCCCATCTTACACTTAATTACAATTCTCCGCCTATTGTTCTCCCATTGTCTCCCGCTTCTCCGCGTCCCCCGCTGACAGCACGAGGCGGCTGCCCGGATGAATGAACGGGCATACCTGGCTTCGTTTCCCAGGGCCTTAAAATAGAGCTGCCGGGCGGCTGTCGCCCCCGCCAGCCGGTGTGCTCCTCGTCCTGGTGTCTGCTTCATCGCTGGGCGCCTGCCGAGAGCACCTGGCACCCTGCCCTGCACCTAGTAGGTGTCGGGAAATGTTTGTCGAATTTAATTAAACTTAACTGGGGTGAAAACCCCCTGCCGGAAGGAAAGGCCCGCACCTCTTCATTTCCTCGGCTCCCCCCCTGCTCAGGACCGAGGCTGGATGAGCCAGAACCGAGTGGCTTTTCCCAGCGAAGTCCTGAGAGTGTGGCTTTGGGGCTGATTACAAGGGGTTGGGGAAGTAACAGGAGGAATCTCAGGATAGGTTACCCTGCCACGTGCTAAGTAAGCCCTGTTTTATCGATTCGCTGGTTCTTCAAATATGGCTGCTGAGGATGATTCCCATTTCATAAACTGGGGAACTGAGGCACACAGGTGTCTTTTGTTTTGTTTTTAATATATTAATATATTTTTATTGATTTCAGAGAGGAAGGGAGAGGGGGAGAGAGATAGAAACATCAATGATGAGAAAACCATTGATCGACTGCCTCCTGCACAACCCCCTCTGGGGATCAAGCCCACAACCTGGGCATGTGCCCTGACCAGGAATTGAACTGTGACCTCCAGGGTCATAAGTCCATGTTCAACCATGAAGCCACGCCGAGAGCGCCTGAGGCTCGCTTGCCCAAGGACATGGAGGGGACACTAGCTTGGCTGGGACTTGGACCCAGGTGTACCCAATGGCTCCATATGCATTCGTCCCCACCCCCACAGCTCCCGGAGCCCTGGCTTTGGCACAGCGGCCGGGGGCAGCTGGTGAGGAGAGCTGGAGGGAAGTAGGACAAAGCACAACCGGCCAGCCCAGAGTAAAGCCTCCTGGCTCCCAGTGCCTGTCAGAGCCAGCCCTTTCTTCCCACTGCCCTCACCGTGGGAGAAGCTCCCTCTCCGGTCTAAATTCTGCTTCTGGTCTCTTCACAATGCAACGCAGATCACGTCGCTGCTCTTGTCTAAAACCTTCCGTGGCTCCCACTGCCCTCAGAACCAAGAAGAGCAGCTGGGGCCCAGGGAGCTGCCCTAAACCCCTCTCCGGCGGCTGGGGCAGGGAAGGAGCACACAGCAAGGAAGCCCTGCTCTGCAGCTGTGGCTGGGCTCCAGGGGGCAGAGGTGCCCCCTGTGGCCCTTTTAAGCTAGCCGCCATTTAACCACCGGCTCCCAGAACTCCTGACAGTGCCACAGCGGGCTCTCCTGCGGCTGCGGGAACCTGAGCCAAGGAGGGTGACCGGCCACCAGCCCCCTGGTCGGTGCCCAGCACCTGCCCCCAGTCCCGGCACGTTCCCCTGGCTCCTTGAGCTGCCATCACAGCGGCCTGCTTCCCATCCCTCCTGATGCCCCCACCACCATCACCACCACCACCAACAACCTGCCCCAGGCTTTTGCGCATGCTGTTCCCTCCCGCTGTCATGCTTGTCCCACACATGTGGCTGCCTCAGGGCCCAGCGCAGCGTCAGTCCCTCGGGCTGGGACAGTGCCCCTTTACGCTCCGTTCACCTCCCGGGGCCTGGGGCACTTGCCTTCACTAGGTGCCCTCTTGATTCGGGCTCTGATCCGGGCTGTGAGCCCCGTGGGCAGGGCCTCTCTGTATCCCAGCAGGGACAACCTTCTCACTGGGGTTGGTGACAGTGGCACCCTCTGGTCGGGCACCACATGCCCCCAGCCCTGCCCAGCACTCTGCATGGGGCCTGGCCCATCTGAGGTGAGTGGTGGATTCTTCCGGAACCTCCCAGCTAAGCCTTTTTCTTTTGTGCTTCTTTCCTGGTAGCTCCTCCTACCTCCATCGAAGTGGTGGCTGCAGACACGCCAGCCCCCTTCAACCGCTACCAGGCCCAGAACTTCACGCTGGTCTGCATCGTGTCCGGAGGGAAGCCGGCGCCCATGGTGAGTGCCCCTGGGGCCGCCCTCCCCGAGCCGGTTCAGCTGTGTCATGCCCGGGAGAGGGCTGAAAAGTGACTCTGCCGCATCCGCCCTGGTCTGACCCTGCCCACTCACTCCGCCGACCGCCTCTCCTGCTCCCAGCCTCTCAGCATGGGGAACCCCACTTTTGCTGGACCCTGGGATCCTTGAACTACACAGTGGGAGCAGTTTTTAGGGGATCCCAGCATCGTGCTCACCCCAGTTATTGAGCAGGATGCAGACGCATGAGGCCCAGAGAGGGGAAGGGACATCTCAGAGTCCCCCATGGTGTTTGTGTCAGAGCTGGGATTCCGGCTCATGTCCTCCCGCCTCAGGTCCAGTGTGGAGGGAGGAGGGAGGAGGAAGGAGGAGACAGGGAGGGAGGAAGAACGGAGGAGGGAAGGAGGAAGGAGAGAAGGTAGGAGAGGGAGTCCCTGTGTGGGCCAGCCTCCTCCTGCAGCCACCCTGACTGAGCTGAGGGCTCGGTCCAGCACCAGAGCTGTTGGCACGCTGATGCACCAGAGATGGAGGGAGCCACCGCTGAGAGCTGGCTCCAGCCGGCCTGCACACGCGCTGAGTGACCCTGAGCAGGAGGAGCTCCCGTCCGCTGCTCATTCCTGCAAGGAGCTTTAGAGGCTGGACACTGTGCACATTTTTCAGCTTTTTAAGAAGCAGTAGGACCGTTTGCTCTGAATGAAATACACGAAAGCTCCGTGTATACATTTAACAGTGAAGTGGGGGGAGGAGGGGACACACGGCCTGTACCGGTCCCTGAAGCAGCCTGGCCCTTAGGGCTCCATGCATCCACCCTGAACCCGTGGGCTGTGTGACCCCAATGCCCTCCAGTGTGGATGCAGTGGAGGCCTCCAGGTTTTGACCCTGAGAGTTTCTTACATCACTGGGGTCAGTGAGGGGTAGTAGGAAGGGTTAGAGTTCAAGGTGGGAGGCTAGGCATCCCAGACCCTGACTGTCTCACAGGCATCGTCCAGTGGGATAACCGAGGGCTCAGGCCAGCCTCACCCAGCTGCCCAGGAGAGGGCAGTAAACAGGTACCTGCTGGCTCAGGCGGGACGGTAGGCAGGTGCACAGAGGCCCAGGTGGGGCAGTACGCAGGTGCACAGAGGCCCAGTCAGGGCAGTAGGCAGGTGCACACAGGCCCAGGCGGGGCAGTAGGCAGGTGCACACAGGCCCAGGTGGGGCAGTGGGGAGGTGCACACAGGCCCAGGCGGGGCAGTAGGCAGGTGCACACAGGCCCAGGTGGGGCAGTGGGGAGGTGCACACAGGCCCAGGTGGGGCAGTGGGGAGGTGCACACAGGCCCAGGTGGGGCAGTAGGCAGGTGCACACAGGCCCAGGTGGGGCAGTGGGCAGGTGCACACAGGCCCAGGTGGGGCAGTGGGGAGGTGCACACAGGCCCAGGTGGGGCAGTGGGCAGGTGCACACAGGCCCAGGTAGGGCAGTGGGGAGGTGCACAGAGGCCCAGGTAGGGCAGTGGGCAGGTGCACGCAGGCCCAGGTGGGGCAGTGGGCAGGTGCACACAGGCCCAGGTGGGGCAGTGGGCAGGTGAACGCAGGCCCAGTCGGGGCAGTAGGCAGCTGCACACAGGCCCAGGTGAGGCAGTAAGTAGGTGCACACAGGCCCAAGTGGGGCAGTAGGCAGGTGCACAGAGGCCCAGGCAGGGCGGTAGGCAGGTGCACGCAGGCCCAGGCGGGGCAGTAAACAGGTACATGCTGGCTCAGGTGGGACGGTAGGCAGGTGCACACAGGCCCAAGTGGAGCAGTAGGCAGGTGCACAGAGGCCCAGGTGGGGCGGTGGGGAGGTGCACACAGGCCCAGGTAGGGCAGTGGGCAGGTGCACACAGGCCCAGGCGGGGCAGGCAGTAAATAGGTGGGCAGAGATGAGCCTTTGGTGAGCTCTCCACTCAAACCTGTGCAACCACCGAAACTGGTTTGGCTCAGTGGATAGAGCGTCAGCCTGCGGACTGAAAGGTCCCAGGTTCAATTCTGGTCAAGGGCATGTACCTTGGTTGAGGCAGCTGATCGATGATTCTCTCTCATTGATGTTTCTAACGCTCTTTCCCTCTCTTCCTCTCTTAAAAAAAAAAATCGATAAAATATATTTAAAAAACAAAAACAAAAACAAAAACTGTGCTCCCGAGGGGACTTTCAAAGCCAGCACTGGCGGGAGCAGGACATGGCCCCACATTTCCCCTGTGGAGCCCATACAGAGGCCTGGCTCCCTAAAATCAAGCAAGTGGGTCTTTTTCTCCAAAGAAAAACTCATTTTTCTGAAGGGCCGAAAGGAAGTTTCCTCGCAGCACTGCGGCTGCCGGAGCACCCCTCCCCCCGCCTGCCGGCTCCTGCCATTTAAGACCCAGCACTAAAACATCCCGATAGAGAGAGTAAAAAACAGATATACACATATTCCTCAGCCTACCTTTGCCTGGAAGGTCAGGATTTGAAAGAATCCTTTGATATAAATAACAAATGTGCTTCTGAAGCTCTTTTCAAAAAAAGAAAGGGAGGAAAAACCCAAATCAGCCCATTATGTGCACAGGAGATTCTTCCTTGGCGCTATAAACTCTGACAGATTCTCTGCGCTGCACATTCCACTTCCTCCCCCGCCTCTCCCTCCTCCCCCTCCTCCTGTCTCTCCTCAGGCATCCCTCTCCTCCCCTCCCCCTCCTCTTTCCCTCCTCCCCTCCTCCTCTTCCCCCCTCACCTGCATCAGCATCCTGAAAGCTGCTTCCTTCCCTCCGCTCTCTCCCTGTCTCCCATCTATTTATTTATCTGATTTATTAAAAATACACCCAATCCCTGCGGGCCTCCGGGCACCTGTACCAAAATAAAAAGACGGCAAATTAAATTAAATGCTGCCTCTCTAAACTGGAATTCCTCGAGAGCAGAGAGAACGGGAAGATGGCCCCTTTCGCCTCCTCCTCCCCTCTCCCCCCCTCGCCCCCCCCCCCCGCGCTGAGCTCCCTCCCCTCATCCCCCCCACATGCACACCTGCTGTCTGTCTTCTCTCCAAAACCTGCAGAGGGACCACACGCACAGGCATCCTTTCCTCATTCTTCCCTCGTCTCCTTTCATCTCAGCACCCTCCGCCTGCTCTCCCATCTTCTTGTTCTCCCCAGGTGGGCACAGACCACCCCTTGGTGGCTGCCCGGCTGCCCAGGGCCCTTCTGTCCGCTGTTTCCAGGCACCCCACACCCCATGGAGTAGGGAAACTGTGGCTGGGGAAGTGCTAGGGATGGGCACAGCCTCTGCCCCCTGGACCAGCCGGCTCCATTTCGGGTGCTGGAGGGAAAGTAACAAGGAGGCCCATTAGAAGGCTACCAGGCAGAGGAGGCTCCAGAAGGACCGACCGGCCTCTTGCGGCCACACCTTCTGAGAGCCCAGTGGGAGGCCGAAGTCATTGGCACAAAACCTTTTCCTTGGAATTTCAGGTTTATTTCAAAAGAGATGGGGAACCGATTGAAGCAGTGACGCTGGCAGAGCCACCGGCAGCCAGCTCCGGGCCCCTCCGGAACAGCAGGCCCTTCCGCAGCCTCCTGCACCGAGACCTGGACGACACCAAGGTGCAGAGGTCGCTGTCCCTGCTGGACACTGAGAACCGGGGCGGGCGTCCCTTCACGGAGCGCCCCTCCCTCGGCCTGACCCCGGACCCCAGCGTCCTCCTCCAGCCGACCACCGAGAACGTCCCGGAGACGGTGGTGAGCCGAGAGTTCCCCCGCTGGGTCCACAGCTCCGAGCCCGTCTACTTCCTGCGCCACAGCCACAGCCCGGGCAGCGACGGCACCGTGGAGGTGCGTGCCCTGCTCACCTGGACGCTCAACCCGCAGATCGACAACGAAGCCCTCTTCAGCTGTGAGGTCAAGCACCCCGCGCTGTCCATGCCCATGCAGGCAGAGGTCACGCTGGGTGAGTACGGTGTGGGGTGCAGGCCCCCTGCAGAGCTGGGGGTGGGAAGCCTTGGAGCAAGGCCTGGGCTGCTGGCCATCATGGAGTCAGGGAGGAGGTCAAAGTCTGTGTCCGCAAGGAGCTTTGCTGAGCTGGAGAGGAGAGCATGGGAGATCCAGCGAGGCCAGCGGAGGTCATGGGAGTGCTGCCCCAGCAGGACAGCGAGAGCAGACAGAGGACCCAGGGTGGCCCTGCCTGCCCTATGGGGGCAGCGCTTCCCACCCCCGACAGACCTACAGAGTGTGAATAAAGAAGGCGGAAAGTGACTTGAGCCTCCTAAGCTAGTGGAGCCAAATATTAGTCCACAGAGCCAAATATCAACAGGACAACGATTGAAATTTCTTTGGAGAGCCACATTTTTTAAACTTAAACTTCTTCTAACACCGTTTCTTCAAAATAGACTCGCGCAGGCTTGATATTTTGTGGAAGAGCCACACTCAAGGGGCCAAAGAGCTGCATGTAGCTCTCGAGCCGCAATTTGCTGACCACGGCCCTGAGCTTGCATCTCCTTGGTACAATCTCGAAAGGTCACGAAGTTCAATGAGCTCATGCGCACAAGGCATGAGCACAGTGCCTGGTGCTTCATGTGGCTCGACAGATCTCGGCCCTCAGACCTTCACCTCCTGATTTTCCTAACATCCCGGGCTGCGGGGAGGGGGGGAGAGGATGTCAGATGGTGTGACTGGGCCAAGGCTCACAGAAAGGAATAGAACTTGCTCTCCGCCTCCCGGGCCAGGACCCCCCTCGCTCCTGTGGATACAGAAACCAACAGTAGGCCTTACCCCCCACTTCCGGCCTCGAAGCAGGCCCAGCTCTTCCCAATGAGGCTCCGGCCGCCCCCTGGGGCGCCTGGGATGTCTTTGCTTGTGATTTAATTAACAGTCCTTTGGTCTCCTCCTCAGAGAATGAGGTTGGCAGGGCCTGGGAGACCACCCGCATCGCCCGCTGCTCTGATTTCGCTCGGAGCCTCTGAGTGGGAAGGAGAGGCTAGGCGAGCAGGCAAGGGCAGAGCAGGGAGGTCCCAGGCCAGCCCGGACCCGGGAAAGAGCTTTCTCCTCCAACTCCTCTGTGAGGTGTTCGCAGAGAATGGCCCAGGCCGGGCACTCCGGTCAGAACACTATGGCCCAGGAGGCTGCCGAATCTGTCCCCAGCTCCCACCCTCCTGACCCCCTGACCCTCTGCCTCAGCACCACCCCCTGGCTGTTCCCTCCACGTGGAACCCTCCTCAGGACCTTCCAGTTCTTGTCTGTGTACTTGTTTGCAACTAAATGGCAAGCTCGAGTCAGCAGGCCCTTGGTTTGTTCACCGCTGTGCCTAGCCCTGCCCACAGCCTGGCACAGGGTTGGCTCAATAATTACTTGTTGAAAGGATGAGTGAGTGAGTGAGTGAGTGAGTGTCTGTGGGGCAGAGTCCTGGCCTGAAAATGAGGGAATGTGGAAAGCTGGCTCCGTTGTGACCCATTTGTTACCCATGGGCCTTGGCTTCCCCATCTGAACCCTGAGGGGATGGACCCCGTGATCCCAGTGGCTTGTCCACCCTGATGTTACCTGTCCTCAGGACAGCAGTGCCCTGGGCACCTGTCTCCCATGCCCAGAGTGCAGAGAGAGGGGCAGGGAGGACCAAGATCCCCCCACCTTGTCCACTGGGGCAGACCGTGTTCTATGAACTGTTGGCTCTCCAGCTCCCAGCCAGGTTGGACTCATCGCAGGAGCTTGGGGAATGTGTGTGAATGAACGCAGGCAGAATGAATGAATGAATGAATGATGAACATCCTGAAACTGGACTAGAATTGGACTGGCACCTTCTCCTCCATTTCCCTGCCCCTGCTTTCCTTGCTCAGTCTCTTCCCCCACCACATACACACACACACACACACACACACACACACACACACACCCCTCTGACCTGGCCTTCCTCTCCCTACAGTTGCCCCTAAAGGACCCAAAATCGTGATGACGCCCAGCAGAGCCCGGGTCGGGGACACAGTGAGGATTCTGGTCCACGGATTCCAGGTCGGCCTCTCTCTGGGCCCCTGTGGAGTGTGGGAGATGGGAGCGGCCCCAGCTCAGGCCCTGGGCTCCCTGGCAGCAGCTCTGAGACCCTCCCCTCCACCTCCAGCCCAGCCGGTGGGCCTCAGTCTGCTGCTCTGTCTGCTAATTCGATGAGAAGGGGCAAGAGGTTCCTGTGTCTTTGCTTACCCACCCAGAGCCCAGGGTAGACATACCTCATGGACCTGACCTTCTTTCCAGCCCTAAGTCCTCCTCTGCCTGGTGTTGCGGGAAGCCCCTCCGAACCCACTAATAAGCCTGTGTCCCCAGGCATGGCCGGGCCGTAGCCCTGACCTCTTGCTGCTCTGGCAGAATGGCTTCTCCTGTGACCAGACCTTCCCCTGCTCTGGCCAACAGAACGAGGTCTTCCCGGAGCCCCTGTTCACATGGACGCGGGTCGGGAGCCGCCTCCTGGACGGCAGCACTGAGTTCGACGGGAGGGAGCTGGTGCTGGAGCGGGTTCCCGCTGAGCTCAATGGCTCCATGTACCGCTGCACAGCCCAGAACCCACTGGGCTCCACCGACACGCACACCCGGCTCATCGTGTTCGGTACGCTGCCCCCGACTGGGGCTCTGGGTGGGGGGGGGGACCACCCAGGGCTCTGGCGGACACTGCCCCGAGGAGGAGGGGACAGCAAGGGCCTGAACCCCACAGGGCGGCACTGGGGTTCGGCCGTTACCCTAGGTCCACCACTTCGCAGCTGGACAACCTTGGACAAAGGACATAACCTCCCTCAGTTTCTCCATCTGTACAATGGGCTGCCACCTCCAGCCCACAGGGGTGTGTCTGCACCAAGACAGCACGTGAAACCACACGGGAGGTGTGGGCTAGAGGGGCGCTCCTTGACTGCGCTCCGAAGACATCCGCTCGCTAGTTCTCTCTCTGTTCCTTCCCACAGAAAACCCAAATATCCCAAGAGGAGCGGAGGGCTCCAATGGTAAGTCTCCTCTCAGAGCTCCTTGCTGGGAAGTGGGATTTTCAAGGCTGGAAGCTCTGGTCCCCAAACCTCCCATTGCCTACCCCAGCCCGCCCCCCCCCCCCCCCCAGCCTTGGCAGGAGACTGGTCAGAGTGTCAGGAGTGGGCCCTGAGGCAGTAAAGGGGACTTGGCACCCAAAGTAGCAGCAGGGATTTCCAGCGACAACGTGTGTCCCCAGCACCACCCACAGCAAGCGACTCCAGTTTTTTTAAAATCCTCATCCGAGGGTATTTTTCCCGTTGATTCTCTAAATAGAGAGGAAGGGAGGCAGGGGACGGGGGGAGATACATTGCCATGAGCGAGTCACATCGATTGTTTGCCTCCTGCTCATGCCCCAACCAGAGCCAGGGATGGAACCTGCAACTGAGGTATATGCCCTTGGCCAGGAATCGAACCAGTGACCCTTCAGACCACTGGCTGACACTCTAACCATTGAGCAACTGCCCAGGGCAGCGACTCCAGTGTTTTTAACTGAGAGCTCAACTTCCTGATCCCAAGGACACATGCCCAGCATTGACAAAGGGGCTGTGTCTGGGACATGGGACCACTCCTTAGGGGAGTTGGGACCACAGACGGTAGGCTTTGCTGGGGCCCTTCAGACTGCCCTCCCCATGACTCCCCCAATCTGGGCACCACCCCAAGGGACCCAGGCACTGCTCCCAGACCTCCAGCTCTCCTGTCCCCACACTGGGCCCATATCACAATTCAGAATGGGGCCCCCAATCCTGGTCCCCACTGGAGGCCCTGATGGCCACCAGGGAGCCTGGCCTCAGCCCAGGGCAGTGAGGGGGTCACCTCAGGTGGGACAGGTGGCCAAGCTGGGATCGGATGCAGAAGTCCAGACTCTGCTGGGCCTTGTGAGTCTCTGCCGCTCCCAGGCTCCCTCAGTAGGCGCCACGGTGAGTCTACTGGCTCTGACCTGCTCCCTGCGCCCGGCACAGGTTCCGCCTCTGGCCCTGCTGGTGTCCGGCTCATCCTGGTGCTCGCCCTGACAGTGCTCCTGGAGCTGACGTGAAGGCCCAGCCACTCCGCCCGGCACTGACACCTCTGCGATCGCTTTTCATTTCTTTTCTAAACTATTTCCAGTCTTGTTCTTAGTCTCTTTCTGTCTGTGTCTTGGCTTCTTCGGTCGGTTTAATTAAAACAAACAGAACGGTTTTCCCCACCTGGGTCAGTGGCTCTGCGTTCTTCGTTTGTTCTATCACGGCAACTGGGTGCCTCCTGGCCTCCAACATTGGGACAGGCACTGGGGTGGAGGGAGGCGACGAAGGAGACGGAGCATGCTCCTCCCGGGATGAGGGGTGGAGAGACAGCTCAGGCTCATGCATATCCTAACAGCCAGGAGTGGGGAGTAGCCAGAGACGTTCAGGAAATTAAAGGTTCCTCGGGGCCAAGTGTAATGGTCAGCTATTGCCACAATAATGCTGCCTAACAAACCAACCCACATCTCAGTGGCCTGCAACAACGAGCATGTATGGTTATGTTCCTATTCAGGATGAAGTGGTAAAGCTGATCCAGTCTGGGCTCAGTGGGCACCTCTGCTTCAGGTGACAGGTAGAATATTCTAAATTCCTGTGGTTCTGAAATTCCTGGCTAGCCTCCAGGCTGTGGCTTGAGCTCCAGTCTCCTCCAAGGGTGTTTGCTCTGGGGCTCAAGCTAAAGGTGAGGTGACTCTCTGATGTTTGGCCATTCAATGGTAGATCACCAAAGCTGGAGAAATAAACCAAACTATGCAGCCACCATGAAAGCATCTGCCTGTCATGTCCATGACCTTTAGCCAAAGCAAGTCAGATGGCCAATGCCAATGTCAGTCAATCAAGGTCACATGTAAGTCAGGGGCAGAGGTTCCAGAACTTTCTAATCAATCACTAGAAGAGTCCCCATGCCACTCAGTGATTAGCTCTGGGGGCAAGAATGCGACATTGGCAGGGCTGGGTTGGCCTCTCGGAGCTGTGGCTGAGACTTGAGCATCACCATGGAGAACCTGTGGCACCCTGTACTACTGTCTGGAAGGGAGAGGCTAGCCTGCAGGAACACATCGACCCCAGAGTCTCACTACATTCTCACAAGGAAAAGTTATCTGTGGCTATGGAAAGCCCAAGGCAGATTGGACAGTCCTCTTTCACCTTGTGGCTACACCAGCTGGAACATGTGGCTTCTAGAATCTTCTCCAGGGCAGAGGAAAAGGGGGCTACAGGGTCAGTGCAGTGTGCAGAATAACAGTTCCCCAAAAAGATGTCCATGTCTTAATCCCCAGAATCTGTGAGCATGTTACGTCATGTGGCAAATTCGATGTTGCTGATATGATTCATTCCGGGGTTTTGAGATGGGGAGATTGCTCTGGGCCATCCTATTGAGCCCAGTGTCACCACAGGAGCCATATAAGAGGGCAAAGATAAGGCACTAGAAGAAAACAACAGATTGACAGTGGTGATCAAGGAGGGGGCTGTGAGCTAGGGCAGGCAGGCCGCCTCTGGAAGCTGACTGAGGCAGGGAAATGAGTCTCCCCTGGAGCCCCCAGGAGGAGCTGGCCCTGCCAACACTTTGCACCATAGATTCTTTCCAGACTTCTCACCTCCAGGACTCCAAGGAAGTAAACTTGCATTGTTTTTAGTCACTGAGCTTGTGGTAATTCCTTACAGCAGCAATAGGAAATTCAGAAAATGGCATAGGATATTTTTAAGCGCCAAGCCTAGTGGCGACATAGATCACCTCTGCCTGCATCCCATGATCAGAGTAGTCACATGGCCCCAACCTAGCTGCAAAGGAGGCTGGGAAATGCAGTCTTCCTGTGTACAGGGTGAGCACAGTGCATTGGGTCTGCCATGAAGAGGCACAGGCCAGAGGAGCCAGAGGAGGGGGATTGGCTGGGAGGAAGGCCCTCACCTGCCTCTGCTGCCTCAGAGTGCCCCGGGCCTCTCCCCTCCCAGCCAGGAGACACATGATCTCACGGAGCCTCTGTGCCTCTCCCAGTCCACACAGATGTCCTGGGGATTGGGTGCCCTGCCTACAAAACCTCCAAGCCCCCGACACGCCAGGCTGGAATGAAGCAGTGGCTCTGTCCTCTTGTTGCCATCCCTGCCCCTTTGCCTCTGCCCAAGTCAGGACCTGGATGACCCATTCAGAACTTCCACCTTGACACCCAAATCTCTGACTCCGTGACGTTCCCCTGGAATTCCAGACTCAGATGTCCAACTTCCTACTGTTTTCCCCTCTCCCATTGCATTTCCAGCTTCATGTGGCTGAAACCCAACTTGTGATTTTTCCCTTGCAAAGCATGGTGTTTCCCCTTTTCAGGAAATGGTACCACCGTCAACCCAGCTGACCAGGTCCAACATTTAGCTGCTCTCTTCTATTTATCTCCTTCCTTCACCCCTCCACAGCCTAGCACGTGGCAGGTGCTCAACAACCATTTAGTAAATGAATGAGTAGGTGAGTGGGCACCTCCCAAGAACATGCTAAGGGCCAGGCTCTGTGCTGGGCACCCAGGCTGCAGGTGTGAGCAGACAGTGCTCTCCACCTGGAAGGAGCTCGCAGCCCAGTGCGGGGAGAACATTTATCCAACCAACCAAGGAACCGCAAACAGCCGCGGGTGCTCAGCACAGCCCCTCCCCCATGCTCGAGAGATTCATTCCTCTGAGGTCAGGATGCAACGAGAGGATCAGAGAACACGTGACATATGAGCAGAACTTTGAAAGAAAAACAGAATCTGACCAGGCAGAAGATGGAGGAGAATATTCTAGACAGAGAGAACACGGGCAAAGGCCTATAGACTAGACAATTCAGAACATTTTTAGGGGAAAGACAAGTTGTTATATCAGTGCTTCTGACAGCCCATAAATTTACTCAACAAATATTTATTAACTGCTCACCCTGGCCCGAGCCTGCAGGGTGATGGATGCTGCGCATTAAGTGGGAGCGCTGTCACATGGCTCTTGTATCGGTTATCTATTGCTGCAGCGGTGCTGCATAATGAACATCCCCCAAACGGAGTCGCTTAACACAACAGCTGTTTATTATTCCTCGTTAGGCTGTGGTCAGCGGCCGGTCTGGGCCAGGTTTGGCCTATGGAGGCTGGCCCTCCCCCCTCATCCCACCCCGTTGCATCTAAGTCAGCTGCTGAGCCAGCTGGGGTGTGGCTGGTCCAGGCAGCCTTTGCTGAGATGGGTCAGGCCAGCCCCATACGGACTCTCATCCTCCGGCAGAGGAGCCTGTGAGACAGAGGAGCCAGGGAGAGCTGGAGCACACACTCCCTCGTGGCCTCGGGGAACTTGCCCTCTGTCACTTCCGCTCCATTGTTTGGGCCAGCCGCAGGTCATAAGCTCAGCCCCGGTTCAAAGGGTGAAGAAATAAATGGCACTTTTTGATGAGAATAGCTTGCAAAGTTGCATTGCATCATGGGTGGGTACAGCAGGAGGCAGAATGAGGGCCATTTTTTGCAGTCTTCAGCAGGCCCCATTCTGAACTTGATGTCCTAGAATCTTTGATTTCCCACCCTCCATGTTCACACACTCTCATTGAAACGGAGAAGCCCAAATGGCTCTTCACAGCAACTTCTCTCCTAAACATATAACAAATAAACGATCCATTCATTCGGTGAATATTTGCCTCTCCACATTTCGCAAGCTGATAGCAACACTGAAGCCGATGATTCTCCAGCCTTGAAGACTCTCAGCCTGTGCATCAGTATAAACACCCATGCCAGATCGGTACGCAGCAACCACAGAGTACTGCTGGCCTACTTCCTTCTTCTCCTTCTCAACCTACTTCCTTCTTCCCCTGCTCTGTCTCCCACGAGCCTCCTGCCCTCTCCGCCGCCTGCCGGCAATCCCACCTAAGCCTCTTTCACACAATGGTTTTGACTGTTTTCTGGAAGGAATAAAAAAGGATTTGTTCCCTCTCTTTGCCTTAATAGAGGGAAGCCCATGTAGGCATGAAATTGAAATTGCTTTGCCCTATTAACATCATAGTCATTGGGCTCCACTGACCCCGAAGGTGCATTAATATCTCAGCAGCAAGTGGATAAACCACATACAGCGGCGAGGAACACACCCAGAGAAAGCCAGCTAAGTACCACAGTGGATGAGGGGCTGAATTTGAGGAGTCTGTGTCCTGAGCAGGCTGGAGAGAATGCTTCATTCAACCTGGGATGGAAGGGGAGGGGCAGGGAGGGCGGCGAGAATGACTAAAACAGAGCCCAGCCTGAGAAGGGAGATGGATGCTTCATTTATTTATCCACTGGCTCGCTCACTCATCTGAGGAACCCTGAGCACACCTGGCCTGGCTCTATGCCAGGCAGGGAGGCCAAGAGACAGGCTGGGCAGAATCTGCCATGAAGAGCCCCAGATCCTTCTGGAATGACAGACAGGGAGAGAGAATGGGAACCCTATGCAACAAACATGGAAGGAAAAGTGAGAGAGCACAGTGCGGTCAAGGATGGGTGAAGGGTTGTTCTACTTCAGGGGGAGGTCAAGGGAGGCTCCCAGGAGGTGGTGACGTGCAGCCGGGACCTGAAGGCTAGAAGGGGCCTCAGAGTCCACGCTGCTACCTTCACAGTTTGGCTCCCGATCGGTTCAGACGCCTCAGCTGTCTCTCAGGCACCAGCCCAAATGCTGCCGTCACGGGAGAGAGAGGACCCCGCGTTCTGGTCCAGTTGGCATTGTCCCCTGGGGCCCCTCCTGGCTCAAAGGCAGATCAGCCCGAAGCATGGCAGCTGGTCTGGGCCTGACACCCAGTCCTGGTCCCCTGGGAGCTCCCACTCTGCCCATTGCTCTTCCCAGCACTATCCCTGTCTACCGTGGGTTGACACCCCACCTCCATGGTGCTCTGGCTTTGCAGAGGCCCCTCGAGCTGGCCAGTGACCCCTTGGGCCACTATGCCAGGTGCCACTGACTCTGGTGCTCAGGCGACAGGGCAGATGCAGAGAACCGCTCTCCGCAGCACATGGGCCCGGTGCCAGCCCCCTCTGTCAGTGGAGCTCTTAGCAGTCTCATGCACGGCAGCTCCGTGATGGACCGCCCTCGTCTGGCCCGGGCTTTTGAGCTGTGAACAGATCATGGGAAGAGGGGGAGGCAGGTGGATTCCTTCCAGGGCTGCCCCTTCTGGGGAGGAGGGGAGGAAGGGAGGAGGTGGCTCTGCTGGGGGTCCTAAGGCCTGTGCACCTGC